TATATATATATATATATATCTTTATATGCAATATGTTTTTATGGATACAATAAAATGCAGCACTACTCGAGAGTACCATTCTGCATTAATCCTACATATTATTGAGGGTCTCAAAGCTATAGCTGATAGTTTGAGTTTTTTCAGGAAAAAAATAGAAAAATAAAAAAATATATTATTGGGCTGGGATCAGAGATCGTTGGGAGGAGTCAGTGCTGCAAACAGTGGGCATAGTGTATTATTGGTCTGAGGACGATGGCAGAAAACAGTGGGCATAGTGAGGCTTTGTTAAAAAAAAAAAAAAAAAAAAAAAAAAAAAACACCCCTGTTGGTGTCAGATTGGGGCTTTCATCAAACCCAGCAAGAAGACTGAAGATTGAGTCCACGAAGGCCACGACCTTGGACACAGGTCCAGTTAATTGAGCCCAATGAGCAGAAACGGCTTGATTAAAGTAATACGGGCAGCCCAATTAGGAGAGGCCGCTAGCACAGTCGAGCCATACCATAGATGGTGAGTCGATCCCTCTCGGGAGTTCATCTTCACTCCGCAACAATAGGCCTAAAACTGCCCATGATCTCAGATGATCCCTCAGTGCACCGTGCGAAGACACGTGTTAGTGCCCAAACTATCCCGCTACCCATATTGTGGATGTTTAGTTCATAGATTCAGAATTATTTTTGATTTACATGTATTTTTTGTGAGAGAAAATACTGTAACGAACTACGAACTATGATTCGAATTAAGGTATAAATTCACCAACCAAACAACCCAGAGTGGATAGACCACAACTTGAGAGAATGGAGGGATCCTATCTATAAATAGAGGTAGCAGACCCATCGGAGGGGGTTACGATCCCCATACTGATCCTCATACTTCAGTCTCGTTCATTTTATCGATTCGAGTTTAGAATTCGAATTAGAATTTAAATTTTGTTACAGTAAAAAGCTCTCAGAAATAATCACATTTAATTTTTTTTATTATAGTAAAAAGCTCTCACATAAAGTCACATCTCAACTCGAATTAATAAACTAAACAGGGCCTTCATATTTCTTTTTTACTTTTGCTTTGGATAGCGGAGAGAGGAAATTCTGAGAGCAGCCTGTACTTGTAATCATGGCCCGTTACTAACGTTTTTAAAATGATTTTGTTTTCAATACAAAAGTGAAAATAAGTTTGTTTTGAGAATCATTTTAAAATCGATTTTAGAATTGCGTTTGGTTAGTTTTGTAAGAGATTATTTTGAGTATAATAAAAAAGTGAAATTGTGTTTGGTTATAATTATTAGTTAATATATTATAACATTGTTAATAATACTAAAAAATAAAAACATACTAGAAAAAATAACTTTTAACCTTTTTTTAATTCTTTCACAAAAATCTTTTTCAATATTTTCTGTTTTCGTTTTCAAAACATACTAAACAAACAAGATTTGCAGACCGTTTTTATTTTTATATCTCAAAAGACGTGTAAAAATATTTTCAAAAACAATAAAAAACTAATTCCAAAAGCACTTCATATTTCCAGAATAGTGAAGAAAGTCTACAACAGTGGACGTAGCTCATTTTAGAGTGAACCATTATAAATCTTAGTCTCACTATTTTATCTTTCGCGCAATTTCCTTGTTGTTTTAATTTCCTTTTTGTTCATCTAATAAAATAATCTAATTAAACGGTTAATAAGGCAAACATGGTTTGGCAACGGTGATCAAAGGTGCAAGTCATTTTTTCATTGTTAATTCATTCCTAACTTGTTTATATTTGACTATAAAGACACGTCTACGACTCTTATTTAAAAAAGAAGTAAAAATTTTGACTCATACACTTTTAAAGAATATTTGACTCATTTTCTAGCAAATTAATCCTAATGTTTGGACTTCCGTCCAGAGAATGCTCATTTTGTTATTTAAGAACAATGCTAGAGAGGTTCTGATCATCATATATTCATTTGTTGTGAAGCAAATAGGACCATTATTCTAAACTCTTATGATATTTTAGGATTCGTCTACCTTGATTTTTTTTAATAGAAAAAGAGCCACAAGTGGTTGTAAGACGAAATATACATATAATATTGCAAGAGAGAGAGAGTGGAGGGGTTTTTTTTTTTGGTGTCCTTTTCTTTTTGTGAGAGTACTAAGTAAAGAGAGAGGAACTAAACAATTGTAAATACGAAAATGTCATTATATGTACAAAGGTGTACTCTTGTCCTCGATGTTCATTGTCCCGTGCATGAACTGTGTATCCAACAAGCAACAGCTACTTTTATTTTTATTTTTATTTTATATGAACAGGCAACAACTACTTATGACTTGGTCTTCAAATGTTTGTTTATAATCATTAATCAATTTATTACTGTTTTCACTCTTACATTGTATATAGAAATTATATTTTCGTTTTGTGCTTACTTGTCATGCACCAATGCATTGCTTTTCTTTTTCCCTTTCCTCCATAGGCCAACTCATAAATGTATATTGAAATTATATTTTCCTTATTTGTTCTATTTTAAACAAAATCAGAGCTGAGGATATAAAATATAATCTAATCAGTGGTAGAACTTCAGGCGGCGAACTACTGGAAGCTTAAAAATTTTCGGGCTCGGCGGGCAGGCACCATTCGCCGCCCGTCCATCCTAATTTCCCGGGCTCGGGCTCGGACAGTCCGAGAAAAAACCATTCCCGGCAGCCCACCGCCGGTGGGGGAACCATGACTGCCGGCTGCCGTTTTCTTTTTTTTTGAATTTTCCACCGTAACCCGTTGCCCGAAAACCCAAAAAATGACTAATTTTTTGAATTTTTGCCCGACTCGACCTGAACATATGTTTTGACCGTTAGCCCGAATTTTGAATGCAACGGCTCTATTTTCCCGACCCGACCCGACGCCCGCCTGGCCGACTCCAACGGCTCTTTTGTTTTTACCGTTGGCCAAGCTGCCCGAACCTGACCCGACCCGCAGAAAATAAAGTTACTGTTGAAGTCGAATTTTTTCGGGATTTTTTGTTTTCAAGCCAAACAATTCCCTATAAATACCCCTTCTCCCCCAACCATTTTCCTCACCTAAAAACTCTCATCAATCTCTTTCAAACTCTCTTAATCTCTCTCAAATCTCTCTTAATCTCACTCAAATCTCTCTTAATCTCGCTCAAATCTCTCTCAATCTCTCTTAATTGCTCTCAAAGCGCTCTCGATCTCTCTTATTTTTCATAATGGATTCTTCCGGTTATGATGGTGATATTCCTGTTGATGCCCAATTCAACATTGAAGAAGGGCAATTTCCAACTAATGTTTTTCAAACGCAGGAATCACAAACACCAGAAAGAGCTGCTGAGGAAACTGTAAATCCGAGCCGTGGTAGACGTACGAGAGGTTGTGGACCTCATGGTTGTAATGATGGTGGGCATGGAGGAGAGACAAACGGAAGTGCTAGTGCAAGTGTTGTAAGTTCCAAGAAGAAATGCAAGCACACCTCAACAGTTTAGGAGTACTTCAACACATTCGAGGAGGTCGACAATAACGGTAACATTAAATACAGAGCTCAATGCAAATATTATGGTGATAAATTATAAGGTAATACTATTCACGGCACAACACACTTGAGAAGACACTCCGAAAAGTGTCTTCAAAAGCAAGGAGGCGGACCCGATCTCCGCCAAACACAATTATCATTTGACTACCAAACCGGCGGTCTAACCACTTGGAAATACGATCCGCAAGTCGATTGTATGGAAATGACATGATTAGTAGCCACATTAGATCAGCCACTTAGTTTTACCGAACAAAGGAATTGGCAACGTTGTTGGTTGCCGAATCAAATTCGGATGCGGAAGCGTGGCGGGGAGGCGGATCAAGTATAATAAAAATTTTCATAAAACTTTTGAGATACTCTATAGATTATATTAATTTATGCACGAATAAATTAATCACATTAATTTATATATCAAGAACTCAATTAGGAAAAATACCTGGAGGCCGACTCGGATGATAACTTGAGTTCTTTGACCACAAACGATCCTTGCTCCAAGCTTTGTGTTTAGAAAACCAAAGTCTTCCACGTTAATTCCTTAATTCCACATAGACGTGTGTGTGGGCACACGTGAGACAAAACAGGTTTTAAAAACACATGAATTTTCACAAACACCAACGCATGCACGATATGGAATTTTTTGGGAGAAAAAATTTTCCTCTTCTTTCTATAAAAGGGAATTCGGCCAACCCTTTAAAGTATAGGTTAAAAAATTGTCACTCGTAATTTTTCATCATGCCTTATTTATAGAGTAGAAGTCTAACTTTTAGAAGGAATCATATCTCTTTCTCCTATTTTAAATTTTGAACAAAAATTCTCCTCTATCCTTATCTCTTGTAGCCAGCCATCCCTTAGGGTTTTTACTCTGTGTGTGGCGCCAATCTCAGATAGGGAAGGAAGAGAAAATCATCCTTTATCCTGTAGTCCAATTTTAATTCAAATTCAAATTCGAATTTAAGTCAAACTTAAATTAATTTGAATTCTAAATTGAACAACTTATCAAATAAGTTTAAAAGGATAAATTTAAATTATGTTCATGATTCAAATTCAAATTTAAATAATCATATTATTTAAATAATAATTAATTCTCAATTAATTATTTTTTGAGTATTTAATTTTAGAATTCTGTAATTCTAAAATTCTCATTTTGTCCTTTGCCTTTGGTAGAATTA